TACAGTTACAGTCTCAGAAACCCACAGGGACAGGTCTACCCTGGCCTACAGACTTGCTTTGGAATTGGAATTGATTTAATAGTAGTGAGGTTGTTTGCTGGTTGGTTTGTTCTTTGTTTTTTTTAAACTTCTGTGGCCGTTACATAATCTGGTGTCAACTTGATTAAGAGTGTAGGGGTGGAGTCTAGCCAGAATATAGCCAATGAGGTATCTGTGTGAACATAGCATTCTCCTGAGGATTCTGGGAATTCCTGATTTTCCTCCTTGGAGGTGGGAGTCTCTCTCTCTCCTCACTACCTTGGAGACTCTCTCCTGACAAGACACTTGGCACTACACTGATAGACCCCGTGCCCTGGGAACTGGAGAAGTCACGTGGAAACCGCTACCAGGTCTGAGATGCTTACAACACGACTGGATCCAAAGACTGTCTACCCACTGGCCTGTGATCGTCCTGCATTCAGCGTCATTGCATGTGTTTCATGAGTCTGAAGAGGACTTTCTAGATTGGTATTGGACATATGGGCTAATATGGGACTTATGGGCTTCGACTGGACTGGGTTGGGATGATTTCTTATGTACAATTACCCTTTATATAAAACTCTCTCTTATACACATCTGAGTTTCTATGGATTTGTTTCTCAAGTCTACCCAGACTAACACAGCTTTCATGATGAAAAAATGACAATACCATCATTAAAATGTAAGTGGATTATAATACAAAGAGTTGTAGATGTTAAAAAGAAAGAAGCTGAATGTTAGGGCAGCTAATATTTCTGATGACCATCTAAAAGGAGAGAAACTGCCATAAATGATTTAACTTGACTCTCTGAATTCATCGACTACTAGTCACATGCCCAAAACAGATAGGTTTAATTATCTTTTGTACATACATCATATAATTACCACATCAAAACTGTCTCGTGTAGTACTGTAACTCAAAACTGACACAACTACATAAATGTAGTCGCTTGCTGGTTCTCCCCTTCTTTACACATCAACAGATTTAAATAACTCCAGTTCATCTTATGCCTCATCAGTCCCAAAGTAGATTCGTCTTTAATGTAATTAGCAATTAATTATAAGAATGATCTATGTGACCCATATGTCTACGGAAATAAATCTGGCAGGCTGGTTAGGATTGGAGAGTGCACACAGGGAACAACTTGAAGCTGAAATGAATAGATTTACCCCAACTCAAATGTAAACAAATACCATCTGGCGCTACTAAATTCAATTTTACTTTTTAAGTGCTGCAATGAAGCAGCCGGTGGAATTAGCACAGTGGTTTTCAAAGCTGGCTGCATATTAAATTGCCTGGGGCAGAGAAGGATCTTACCTTATATAAAAATACCTAAGCTTGTGACCTATCCCAAACCAAATGGAGTCTCTGGCCGTGGGGACTGAGATGTCTGCGCATCCGTCCATCCATTCATCCAAGTAAGTTCCTGGGATGATTCCATGTGCAGCCAGGGTAGAAAACCACTACTGGGCTATTGTAAATTCGTTGGCCATCTTTTTCCAAGTTGCAATAACCTTAAAGGACCAGCAGGTGGCCACAGCCACACTAAAGAATGGATTTCAGCTGCTGGGGTTTCTTCTAATCCTGTGCCGGAACTGTGTTCTTTCCATCACTTCTCGATAACTCAACCAAACCAAACTCACTGCCACTAAGTTGATTCTGCCTCAGTGCCTCTACAGGACAGGGTAGAACTGCCCCTCTGAGATTGTAACTCTGTATGGGAGTAGAAAGCCTTGTCTCTCTCCCGTGGAGACCTGCACAAAACTAGAGAGGCTGGGGTGAAGAAAGAAAATGTAACGTTAGGGTTTTAAAGAAACAAATCTTATTTGTAAGATTAAGTTAATAATCATAAGTAAACAGGCATGTCTCTCAAATATTTGTGAAAGAATGCTATCATTCAGAGCTGGGGCCCTGTTGACCCAGTGGGTAGAGTGTTTGGCTACGAACCAAAGGGCCAATGGTTTGAACCCATGAGCCGCTCTGAAGTAGAAAGATGTGACCGTCTCCATCCTATGGGCATCATCTATGAGTCAGAATCAACTAGCAGCAGTGGGTTGGGTTTGGGTCATAAACAACGGCATGTCTCAGCCTGGTATTGAAAATAACATTGCTTTGGAAGACATACAAACTCATGTCTAGGAAAAGCACGACGTAGTTGCTAACTGTGGCTCCCCCACGGCAGCCACGCTGAGGGAGATGACACTGCCTGCTCCTGGGGAGATGCCCAGCCTCAGGCCCCCGAAGGGGCAGTTCCCCTCTGTTCCGTAGGGTGCCTCTGAGTGGGAATGGACTCGGCGCAGTTAGCTGGTTTTCCTTACAGGTACTGTTGAGCTCCCCTGGCAGAATGGAGTCATTTCAGCACAGAGATTAGAAGGCCCACGGGCAGATAATATTTACTATCTGGGGCTCTTCACACAAAGACTTTGCTGACCCCATAACCCCGCCAAATTCCCATGCTCAGTAAACTGTAGCCTCATCGCCTGACAGGGGCGGGTCTCAGACCCGTGACTAAGTGCACCTGGAAGGGCTGGACACAGGCAGACAGTATAGTAGCGGATGACACTTTGGAAGCTCCTCATATGTATATATGGCTCTGAATGTATTCAGAACGAAAAGTAAAAGGTTGTTGTTTTCATCAATTTTATGTTTTCCATGCAAATTCTTAGTACATCTTTATACCGCAAGCAGAAAAGGCCCTTATTCTGGGCAATTCAGACTAGTCCTACTGGAGAAAGGCTTTAGGATTCAAAGGCCGTTGTGGTTACTTCATGGGGCTGCAAATGCTTCCAGGACACGAAAAGCCATCCAGTGCTATCCACGGTGAAGAGTGCTGCAATGCACGTTCATTGTGATGAGGCGTTCGAGGGCCATTAAAAGCCAAAATCATCACTGCTGCTGCCACAGCCATATGGGCCTCACAGGGAAAGTCAGGACTGATTAGGACCCAGGACAAAAGCAAGTTCATTCAAAGTGTTCACAGGGGGCTTGGTGGCACTTTCAGGTCAGCATTGGGCTGCTACCCACAGGCTGATGATCCAAACCGACTGGCCGCTCTGCGGGAAAAGGTGAGGCTGTGTCACAGCTCCTGTAAAGATCCCGACCTCCTCAGAAAACCCATGCAACACAGCGGGGAGGCAGACTCAAGCTGGTGGCAGGGGGTTGGTGGGTGAGTTA